AGATACAGCATTATATTAATAGTCCATTCTTTAAAAAAAATATAACTTTACTTTCCATCTTAAAAAAGCTATAGGGTAGAAGTCACCTTGTTTTAGACTTTCAAATTTATCTGAATAAAATCCAGAAATTCACCCAGGCAAACTGTGCCAAGGTAGTGTCCTCTGCTCTTTTGAGCATGCATGTGCTTGGTTCTTTAAAGCTCTTTTAATATTATAATACAGGTGTAAAATGTGGTGAAACACATGGTTGTTCCTTGTTATAACAATCAACTTGTGTTATTTACCTTCCTATCAAATGTTCAGTAACTCCCCTTTGACTATTATTTATATTTCCCAAGACAGCTCACTAATGGAATTCAGTCCCTTAGGAGCTTACTGAAATAAAAGCTGTGGCTATATCTTAATATAATTGGTGTAATTATATGACTATTAATGGCATCCTTTGCTTCTACATCTGTGCTGCCAGACCTTTGTCCAGCATGGTCTGAAATGATGCTGAGGAAATGGACTTTTCAACTCAGGAATTCGTATTGCTCATGCTAAAGTTTGAGACCATCATTTTAGTAGCTTCTTAGTTCCAGTTAACACTTTCTGTATCAGGTTATGACATCTGTGAATGGTTTCATTTGCTATTGTTGAGCATATGCTTCAGTTCTCTAAAATCTCTTAAACTCATTTTGCTATTTGGAGAAATTAGGAAGTAAGCCATACGGCTTGGGCTGGGGTCCAACTTTGATGAGTTTTAAATAAGGAATCTTTAGAGTTACCACTTTTCCTTCCAGGTTTATTGACAGAATCACCATACCAAATGTCAGTTTATATAAATTATGTCTTACTTAACAAAGAGTAATAAAACATATCAGACACAAGAAAAAATATGAACCAGAGCAGTCCAGACTCATCTATTTTTATAATAGCTCATGCACTATAAAATATATTTGTGTATTGAATCAGTATAGCACTATTTTCCTTCAAGAAAAGATATAGATATATATTTAAATATTTTCATAGCTCTGTATTTTGAAATGACATTTTATTGATCTCAGTAGACACTGTGCCTCAATTTTATTGTTCTTAATTTAAGTTGTTCTACTTTTTTTTTTTTTTACCCTGAGTTGCTGTCTGTCTTATCTGTTCTTGTGAGCAGGGAGTATGCTGAAATTAAAAGTTAGGAATCCTTTTTTTTAAGTAACTGAATAATACTTTTGTTATCCATAAACAGATTAAAGAAGCAGACAAAGTCCTCCAAGTACAAATGACATGCAAGAAAAGAAAATATACAAAATACAGAGCATCATCTAGAAAAGCACCATTTGGAAATAATAGAGTGCCTTACAATCTTTACTTTTAGATATGACGGTGCAAGATGAAAATGCCATGTAAACACAGACATAATAGTAAAAAACCTAAATCCTTATGGGAACTTTCTGGGGATAGGGCCCTGACTTTGCAGGTTCTAAAACATGTGTGTAACTTTACTCGTATTGTGAATAACGGCTAAGCCACTCATTGGCTTCAAGCATAGGCTCATATTTGTGGAAAATAATACCTGCTTGACTGACAGAGGCTTTAAAGAACTGAGCACCAAAGAGTTAAAAAGTCTGGGAATGTTTAGAACTGAATATTTATACATTTCAATATATACTTTTGCCCCACCCTGTACTAGCTCTTCATAAGAATTAAACAGAGGAAAAGTATGAGGAAAAGTCACACTTGCGTGTCAGCTTATTGTTCCAGAGACTACAGAGCCTAATTTATGTATGATCTAAAACTTAGCAGCCTCTTTTTTAGTAGGTCAGGTCTTTGTGGAGAAGTCTAGTGTCATAATTAAGGCCCATCACCTTTTTGGTCAATTAACCTTAATACAGAAAATGTAGCCATTCTGCTAGCATAGATGTTGCTAGGCTTTGTTAACAGAAACATTTGGATTTCTATGGTGACTGACAATGGCTAAAGCCATGCCACCAGGGCTGCCTATCACAGTTAGTGATGAGAGTGAAACAATGAGTTGTCAGTGGTGAGAAATATTAGGTGGCAGAACAGAAAGATAGGGCAGTATTATGATTATGCACATGTGCATCAACTCTGACTAGAAAATAATTTGGGGAAGGGGTACAGGGGGCTCGTGAAGACTTAAGTACTGGGGATACTCTGAGCTCCCTAAATAGATCCCCAATTCAAAACAGTTATTAACGTTAGTTAAATTTATATCCTGCCCTATCCAGAAAGGCTCAGAGTGCCTTGAAATACATGACAAACAACCCCCAGATTGGAAACAACACTCCAAAACATGAAAACTGCACCTGTCCTCACTACTCTTGCTTGCGTGTCACCCATAAGAGCAAGGCCTCCAGCCAATTCCAAATGTGTTTTCCAACCCCTATTTACCTCAAGGTATAAGAAACCTCATCCATGCCCACCCACTCCTACTTCCCCATACCTAGGGGAGATACCTCCTCTACCCAGTGTCCCTTCCAAGTGCACATGCCTCTCCAATCATCCCCAAAACAAATAATTCGTCTCCCTCCCTCCAATAAAAACAGCATTAAATTGGAAAGAACCATAACAGGGAAATAAGAGAAAGCCCCTCAATACCTGAAAGGACCATTTTTCCTCCAACAAGATACAGATTCCTTGGTTGTATTCCTCATACCTTGAAGCAGCAGTAATTAATCTGCACTCAGATATAAACCAACACATTTGCCTGAGCAGAGACAAAAACTGTACAAAAGAAATTATTCAAGGGTCTATATGGGAGTCACACATGCCCGCTCAGAGGAATAGTACAATGTACTGTCCCTAGGCCGACTAATGATCTCTAACCAAAGTCTGAATCTAAACAGGTCCCCGTCAGTGCCACAACAAATACCTTCCATCCCTTGCAGAATGGGGTCAGAGATCAATGAGCTGACATCAGTGAGATATATCTCCATCTCTACTGCACATTTAGGGTCCATTTCCAGAGATCACAGTGCTCAGAACCATTCTGTTAGTCAAGTCCCAAAACCCAGGTTCTTAAATTTTAGGTAGAGGAGAACATAGGAGCAGCAAGCTGTGTTTCTGCCTAAACTCTCTTCAGTGGTACCCTGTGTAAGCCATTTGGCCAAGAGACAACCATGTGGCCTATGACTGGTCCAAACTGGGCAAGGCAGAGATCCTGTATTAGGGTGGCATTTCATTTCTCCCCAATTAACTACAGGCAGTAGGAAGTCTGGGGTGGGCTTTATCCTTTCAGTCTTTCAGGGCACCTATACACATGCAGTGAGGCTGCTTTCATGCACTGTAATGATAAGAAATGGCTAAATTACAAGAAATGGCTACATTGTAACAAGTGTGTAGATACATATTGTTTTAAAACATTAGGTACCTTTACTAATAAAACCTAATGCTACACTTTAAATTAAAGATATATTTCATGTAATTACATTAATGTTTCATGTAATTACTGTGTGTCAGAGCTAACTTGATTAATCAAGTCTCCTGGAGCATGGTAATTACCATGCTCCAGCAGACTCCAGC